TAGGAAGTAGAGGAAAATCTAAGAAATGGTGGAAGACGGTCGTACTTTCCTCCCGCTTCACACGTGCTATTTAGGTAAGAGTTTTATGGTAAGATGTTTCAAATACAGGAAGATGGTGGGTGGCATAGGAAAGGGTCGCATCAAATCAAGATCCTTTTGTAAGGGCGGGGTCGCACTGACATCGAGGTTTTTCAGATTTTCTGACCGTATGATTCAATTGGTGGGAGGTTCTCGTAATCGAACTCTCGCAAGTGGGATGAATAAGATACGCAAATTAGCTTATCAGCCCCATTCTCTTTGCTCCAATCTGCTAACGTCCACTATCTGGTGCAGCGAGGTGTAAGTCCAGTACTTTCAGGTAGTACGCCTACTGATAGAACAAGGAGCCAGTGTAAATCGTGCGGACAGTCGGGATCGCCAGGCTTTGCACTATGCAGCCTGTTGTAGCCAGAATGTGGTTAGTAATTTAATGTCCTTCGTGGAAATCATGTTCCAGAAAATCCCTTTATGATGCCCATTATGAGAAAGGAATTCAGGTTGCAGAGACGCTACTGCAAGCAGGTGCAGACCCAAATGCTGCAGATGTCGATGGTATGACTCCATTGATGGAAGCGTGTGCAAGTGGACATGAACTCACCACACTCAGCCTTCTGGAATATGTACCTATTCGACATGATTCTGAGTAAAAATGAGTGCAAATAACCTGCATGTTACAGGGAGGAGACCCATTCCTGAAGAACAACCGTGGTGAAGATTGCCAAGCGGTTGCGGGCGATGAGTCGAAGATCCAGCAACTGATTGCCGAGCACATTCAGAGGCGAGCAGCAACTGCGTTTTCTTCAGGTAATTTTGGTATTCCGGGAGGCAGCCTTGGCTGCTACATTATTCGATGGCTGAGATTGATTTGCTACATTGTATCGGTTCGGAGGCCCTCGTATGGCGATGCATCAGAACCAGTGTTTCAAGTGGCTTTACATGAACGATATTCGCAGCAGGATCAACGATATTTTCACCAGTGACTAACTGACTTAAAGGCAGTGGGTGCAATGGACGGGGCCGTGCGGTTGCTGCTAACGCCATTGGTGGAGAGGCGGAGGGGGGCGGGCCAAAAGGCCTTCCGCAGCAGTTCCACCAATGACACTGATAGCTTTCGTATCGCGTACTGCGGCGTTATACAGCAGTTATCAAACAATAACAGCCTTTGATATGGATGTACCACGGAATGACGGGTCAGATAGTAAGGAAATAACTAAGTAATAAGGAAACAAATAGTAAGGAAATACTAGTTGGTTTGTGCGCATCACTGCAACGTAGGCCTCCCAGCCGACACTCCGCCCTCTGTCTCCAGTTTTGCTCCATCCTTCGCTAGTCGCCGACTATGAACGCCGTTTAAGAATCTCCACGAGCACCAAGAAAACCGAGAACGCTGGAGGAACTATTGGAGGACATGAATCTTGCTCGACTTGTGGACAAATTCAAAGCGGAAAACATCGACTTAAACTTGTTTTTCGATCTCACTGATAAGGTTTGCCTATTTTTGTCTTCGCTTTCCATTTCTCTCTTTTTCTACTCCTTGCTACTTCATTATTTTCTCAATTTCGCTTCCATTTGCTACAAAATAGCTCTTCAATTCAAAGTCATTAAGGATTTCGAGGAAATGGGTATAGCGTACGGACCAAAAAAGCGCATGCTGACTGTAATTGACCGATACCGGAAAACTGGACAGATCTCATGCGAACCGTTAGAAGTTGAAGTGGTCCCACCACCACCGCCATATACGGTAAGTCTCTTTAGTAATCCCATGACTCATTTCCATCTCTTTCCTGACGCTTTAGCATTTGCCTTATGAAGTCAGTTAAAGGCGTATTTGGCCAAAGTTCAACCAAAGGCGCTGCTCAAATACCAATGGGCTTACTTAGCTGACGTCTCTGCTACTAAAAATTTTAAGAAAGCGTTCTTTCAGACGGCCGAAGATGGCAACCAGAAGGAGATGATCGTTTCTATGAGATATATTCGTCAAATGAACGACATGACGAAGCAGTTGGCCATGGAAGCACTGGAGGTGGCTCGGCGATCCAACAACGGCGACGCGTATGTGAAAGCGTTTCTACTGAAAGTCAAAGTCAAGACTAGGGAGCTGGAAGTGCACTCAGAGAAAACTATCGTTAAATACGACCCCCACCCCAAAATTTTGATCTCCGACGACCCCTTCCACAATCAGCCAATCATTTTACCGAATTTTTTTCAAAAATTTGCCGTGGACTTTATGGGGCACGGTGCCGGGGAGGGAGGGGACGGTTATATAATGCAGATGAAGCAGGAAAATCGAGAATTGCAAAAAAAATCGAAGGATCTCTCTCGGCTATACTTTGTAGCCGTAAACCTCAAGGGAGTTGAATACGCCTCCCCGTTGAAAAAAATCCGACGTACGACCTTGGATGCAATCCATTCCATATCTAAGAAGCACTAGTCACAAACCCAATATTGTGCGGCATAAGCTTGGATAAGGAATCACGGACTGGTACAGGCCTCATGCAGTGCGGCTTGTCGAGGCGGCGTGAGCAGCACGGGTTCGGGTTCGCGTGCTCTCTTGTGCTCAGCCAGTGGATCGGGTAGAGATAATTTAGGAAGGAAATAACAATGATGGAAACGGCCGTAGCTGAGAACCGCGTTGATTGACCCGAACAATTGGCGGTGATATAAGCTGTAGCGCCATGCCTGTCCACGCCTCCTTGGGGCCGCAAACGCGCCACTCTGAGCACTAAGGGACGCGATTGGTCTCTTTTTTTTCTCTGGAAAACCTTTACCTATTCCCTAAAGAGTCAACTTAAATCTCGTTCAGTTGTCGTCTAAGGGCACTTGCGAACTGAACTACTTCTATGAATCGAACTTGAATCGACCCCCCTCCCTTTGAATTATCTTAATTAAGTAGTGAAATAACCGGATACAAGATGAATCTGTTGTAAACAGAATATGGAACAACCAGCGGTCTTGCCGGCTGATGCCGAGCGCGCCGTCTCCCGAATATAGCGGCTTCGCCGGCGGTCAGAACCGCGCGCTTTGCCTGTTCATATTGTCAATACCCACTAGTATCCAGGCTTTCTCTTTTTATGTGAGCAGATGTTCACGTTTCTGTAACATGCATCATACCTGCATTTTCAAGGCTAGTACGTAGGTTGTTGGGTACATGGTCGTGGGTGAGGTCGTTATTTACGTAGTGGGGAATGCAGGAGTCCTTCAGCCTCTGCTTGCAATCTCAACTGGGCAAGCATGCTGCATTCAAGTGGAACAAAGCTTGCTGACGAGAGCTTCATCGGCTGATTTATCGCGATCAAATCACTGCCACTATTTGATACTGCAACATGTAATGGTTCGCCAGTTTTGCATACGGTCGATCCCTCTTCTGTTCGCCCTATCACACTCCTAGACGCTCCACAGTCGCTGCGTGCGCCTGCTCAAAGGGGAGCGGCGGTGATTCTGGTATACCATGCGCTACCCTCCCACTGGTTCGCCTCGCCAGCCTCCATGGGCTTCGTCCAGTTTCCGCGCGAGAAGATTCTGAAGTGGCTTGTGTGTACAAAAGGTTATGTTGTATAGTTGGTGGAATTATTACAATCAAAACAACATTTTAGTTTGCTAATATGAATTAGCTTGCAGTTTCGCTAGCAGTTGCTTCCTACACTCCTGCTGCATGCTCCTGTTCAAGCGTGCGCTACGCGTCCGCTCACTCAAACTACATATTTCCAAGTCCGGGTGAGCAGTCCAGTGTAGGACTCAATGAGTGCCGTTCTCCTCCCCTCTCTTCCCCCCCCCCCCCCCCCCAAACCTATTCCCCGCACGACTTCACGTCAAGCCGTCACGCAAGCAGCTTGTGAGCTTGTGCTCGGGGTGTACTAAATAGTTGTTGTATAGTTGAAAGTATTATCACAACTAAAAGAACATTTTTTTTTTTTCGCTTGTTACAGTAATGTGATTTATTCGCAGCTTAGTCAGCGGTTCTTTCCTCCTCTTTGAGCGCTGCTATTCAAGCGTGCGCTACGCACCTTCTCACCGTACCCGTTCACTCGCTTCCCTCAAGCGCCTTCACGTGCATGTTCCCAGGCCCGGCTGAGCACGTCTGGTGGAGGGAAGCAGGGGGGGGGGGTATCCAGTCCCCGCTCCCATCCTGCCCTCGCACGGCCTACGTCCAGCTAGCACGCGAACAACTTGTGCAATGGCTCAAGTGTACTAAATGGCTGTCTTATATGCC